GCCTCGCCACCAGCGGCCGCTTTCCAGCTTCGACCAGTATCTAGGAGGGAGACGTTTATAGATGTGTGATATTCACATCTTTTTCCTTTGATTTTTAATTTCTTTTTCCCCCCCCCATTTGCGCTTTTTTTCTTCTTTCTTCTTTTTCATGCAGAACGCTGCGATAACGGTCCAGCGGCGTCTGCGGACAGGGCTCAGAGATTAATCCCAACTTGCAGACATGAAGGGCCTGTTTTGTCCAGACTACAGATTTATACTTCGCTGTGATGCATACTGGAGAATGACTGCAGGCCTCTTTCTTGTGCTTCAGTAAATTTTTGGTTGACGTACGGACGACAGTGGACAGCTTGTGGAAGACGGCTGACTCCACAGATGAACATATATCCTCAAAGAACGGCCTCTCTTTGGGAGAAAAAAACAACAAAAAACTCCATTATATCTCGTGGGGTCAAAGGTTACCGTCAGACTGAGGGTTAGAGCTGCACCTCTGTAATGACCTGCTAGTGTTTACCATGAAAATCACGGATTGGATCATGTGCAGCCGGCACGCACGCAGCGCCTACAACCACAAGTACAAGACGGCTGTGTTTTTGTTTTTGACCGACTCGGCGGCCATGTTGCTAATTCCAACAGGAGGTAAGCTCCAGCTAGCGTCCTTTTGTCCAGATGACAAAGCTGTAAATCTAACGTGAGATTCTGCGGTAAACGTCTGATTTAAAAGCCGATGTCATTGTACAAGTCGTCCAGCCTGATTGCAGACTGAAACTTCTTCACTGACATCGTTTTGTTGTTTTTTTTTAAACAGCCCAGTCCTTTGTGGGTGTCGCCTTTACCGAGAGCTGCTTGATGTCTGACACCTAAAACATCCTCCAGTCAAGAGAAAAGCAATATTGTCCCACTGTATGTTTTATTATTGTTCATTTCAGCTCATTAGGCAGCCCACTGTTAATGTAAGCGTCATATTCTAGTTAAATGAGAATCGTTTCAAGTGTTTTGTTTGTATGCAGTGGCTAAAGAAGGTGGGGTCATGATGCTGCACATAAAGGGAACGAGTCAGGGAGTCATTATTATACTAAATGAAATTAGGGTTGAAGTTCTGAACAAACAGGTGTTACTGCCGAGCTACGCATCATGAAAGCCATTAAAAACAAACGTGTTGTTATTGCATTCAGTGCATCTGAGGGTATAAATCATATTCTGTCAGATGAAACCTGGCTGACTCTGTAGCCTATGGATGAACATGTAGTGTGTATTATTTATCTTATTTATGTTTTACTTTGCTGGTTTCTAAATGCAAAAGCTACTAATCTCCTTCATCCTTCATAATTAACTCTGATAATCAGTAATATGAAAACATGTCTCCTTGCAATATTCTCCTGTTATTCTTAGTTTTTTTTTGTCATTTTAAATCATGTAAGTAGTTTTATTACTACAGTTAGAATATATATATGTAGTTAAATTAAGGAACAAAAGATTCCCAAACCAAATTGGCTCTACGTGAAAGTACAATTAACAAATCACTCTCAGGTTTGTTTAATCACCAAATCACCTCAATAAAAACCTGTCTGACAGCTTGAAGTAGGCCAAACAATTTCCAAAACAACTTCCAGAACAGATGAGAAAACCAAGCAAAAACATCTCCTAGTGTGGAAAAGGTTACAGATGCTTTGGGCTTTTAAGACCGTAATGAATCCTTAACCTCAAACGGAGAAGCGTGGAGCAGCGGGGAGCCTTTCCAGGAGTGACCGGCCTGTAAAAATTACTCACCCGCAACAACTTCTGAAGATCTCATCTACCTCAGTTAAAGTCAGTGTTCATATTTCACCAATAAGAAACAGACTGGATGAAAATTGCATCATGAGGATAGTTTTAAGGTAAAAATAAAAATCCTCTGCTGAGCAAAGAGGACGCATCTTGATGATGATGATGATGATGTGGCTGCAGAATAAAACAACTGTGGAAAAGAAAAGCGGTGGATGAAAAATTGTTTTTCAATAATTATTGCCGGTTCCTGCGAACGCTTGATGTCAGTCGTTAGAACCAAAGGTGGTACAAGCATTTACGAAATTTCACTTTTTTTTTTCTTTAATGCATGGAATTATTATATGTGGTGTCTATGTCTGATATATAAAAAAAAACGAAGACATCTGTGAAGGGTCAAATAGATTCAAGGCGCTGTAAACCCATCAAGCCGGTAAAGAAGGGAAGATTTTTCTCTTCTTAAATGCAGCCGAGAATACAGACTTTTACGGGAGGGAATCCATTCCCGATTTTCTTTCCTGTAAAAGAAGAGAGATTTAAAAATTACGGTGGGACAGAAGGCTCCCGCCGTCTCCTCCGTCAAGGGGAAATCAATCACTCGGTCCCTGCAGAACACCAGCTGGCATCTGAACCGGCTGTGCCATTTGGCCCTGTGGAGATTGGCTACATTTTTCCTCATTCCTGCCTTTCAATCTTTAAATTATTTCTCGGTGCTTACAGGAGATTTTTTTGACCACGGGGGACAAAGCAAATAATGGCTTCGTCCTCGTCAAAATACATTTCTTTTATGTTTATTCACCAGCAGCCATTTCGCGGGAAATGAGCAGCATGAGAATCCCCGTGGTTACAGGAAATCACCTGGTGTCGCTGGAAAGTTTTGGTCAAATTGTTCTGCGCAGATCAGAAAGCAATCAAGCGTTTTTAATTATTGCTTTATTATTATCTCAGCCTGTGTTAATTCTTTATTTTCTGCACGGAGAATAAAGAAGCGTAGCTTCGTTTCGTTTCTGGATTTGTTTGAGCGTCTTAGAGATTTGTGTGTTTGGAACAGAATTAACCCAAAACAAACAGATGGATGTAGTAGTGGGGGAGAAAAAAAAAAAAAAATGTTTGTCACCTTCTTGTTTGTTTCAGTGACTCTCTCTGTAGACTTTTATAAACGGGCGTCTGATGCAGTCTGTCTGGTTGTGCTCTGGGTTGTCACGCCGTCAGGAGGTCATTCGAATCAATTAGCGTTGTTTAGAGGAGCCCCCGTTGATGTGCTGAGTGGAAGTGGCACGCCCCTCCTGCTGTGCTTGATTACTTCCTGTCGTTGAAGCCATTGAGAAATTAATTTATTAGATTTTTCACCAAGGGGGCAGACGATTACATTCTGCGCGCTGTGAAGTTTGCTACTGTTGCGAGTTAAAATTAGAAGAAATGCTCAGATAATGAGAGAGAAGCAAGTGTGGAGCTTTTCTGGATGGTTAATAATGCGTCCTGTTGCACGGGACGGAGAACGTTTCCCTCCAGCTTGTTATGTTGAAACAATCGGCCCGAGCTGCACAAAGCTTTTTATTAGGACACTAAGCCTTTGTAATTAATATGAAATAAATTTACGACTGCTGACTTCTTCTTGCGGTTTCTCTTCATAATCTTGTTTTCCATGGAGGCAGCAGTAAAGATATTTTGTTGCACAAAGTCTTCAAGTAATCAATCAGTTGTTTCTCATTGTAATGCACTTCTCCGCAGCATGTCGTTACGAAAGCAAAGTTAACGTAGCAGTTTAGTTTTCACAAATCCAAAACCGTGTTTTAGAGAGCTTAATCAGTGCCTAATATCACAGTCCATATGATATGGTAATTTTATGCCAGACGAGCACTAAAAAGCGTGTTTATTTATGTCTCCGGCTTTACAATAAAGTCAGTTCATATGTGCGGCTCGTCTCAGCGACAAGGCAGTTCAAAGTGCAGAGCATTACATCACAGTGGGGAAATAAAAAGCTACAATCCAGACTAGAAATAACCGACGTTCCAGTTATTAATCGAAGGCAAACCCTGAACAAAGGGGGTTGATGTAAAAGAACTCAGCGTTTCAGCAGTTTTGCCATTTTCAGGAAGTTTGTTCCAGGTTAGAGGAGCACAGAAACTAAATGCTGCTTCTCCATGTTTGGTTCTGGTTCTGGTTCTGGGGATGCAGAGTAGACCAGAACCAGAAAACCCAAGAGGTCTGGAAGGTTGATCCAACCACAATACATCTTTAATATATGATGATAAGTGTTTGGTTGTATTCCACAGGGAAAGATGTTCTACATTGACAAACACTTTATCAACAAAATACAAGAGCTGGAACTGAAAAGAAGACAGATGCTCCTCATGTTGTTAATATTTAATATTCTACAAAGTTATCTAGAGAAGCGTAGAGCTCTGCATGGCTAAATAATTTTCTCGAATAATCAAGAAACAATCTATTTGTATGTTTAGTGGGCTGTCCCATATCATATTCAGTCATTTACACTAACAAAAGTATCTCAAAGTCTATTCCTGAGCTACAGGACTTTATAACTCAGGTGATGTCCTAGTTTCAGTGAAAACGCTAGCAGCTGTCCAAATGACTGTCCAGGAGAACCTGTGAAGGCACCGTTGAAGTAATTAACTCAACTAAAGACAAACACACGTCTGAGTTTCTAAAGATCTCGATGTGACATTAGTCTCTTAATTTCAGAAATGTTCTTGATAAAAGACTCACTTTGTAAATGTCTTTATGTGTCTCTGAAGGTTCAGAGTCCATCACTAGACATCTAGTTTCCAGATCTAATAACTGAACTCTATCGTTGCTCTTGAGGTCCAGAGATAATTGCTTCAGTTTTGCTTCAGTTTTGCTTCTATTTAGCGGAAGAAAGTTCCATGAATTAATTTGTTCCTGGTGACATTGTAACGTAGAGCTGTGTGTCGTCTGCGTAGTTTCCTCGTTGTACTCCATGCGGATGGGCGTGTATTCTGACGTTTTTACAGATAAGATGTGCCTTTTGGTTAAAAGTAAAACAGATTGCCATCCCAACATAAGCATAATGACCAGCTGAAAGAACTTCAGGCCAGTGAACACATGATGCCGTAGGCCCAGTCCATTCGAGTCAAAGTTTAATTTAGCCTTATTTACACTGTGGTTTAACTGGTCCATGTAATTGCGATAATCAGTTTTACACTCCAGCTCTGTAGACGTTTCTCTTAACCATTTTGTTTCCAATGTCCTCCCTGTAGGAGTACACCATTGATGTCTTCTTCCGTCAAAGCTGGAGGGACGAGAGGCTCAAATTTGACGGTCCAATGCAAGTTTTGCCTCTTAACAACCTGCTGGCCAGTAAGATCTGGACGCCCGATACCTTCTTTCACAACGGGAAGAAATCTGTGGCCCACAACATGACAACTCCGAACAAACTGCTGCGGCTAGTTGACAACGGCACTCTTCTCTACACGATGAGGTGAGACTGTGTGTTTAAGCGTCGGTGTGAAGGTGGACAGATGGATGGAAACTGTCTGCGTGTACAAGTGCATCTAGTCTATGTGTTTATTTTTGAGAATGTTGATTGGGGATGGAGACTATGAACTTCAAATTCTCTCAAAATGCAACGAAGATTAAAAAAAATGTAGAAAAAAACTGCATATAACTGCGTACAAGTCAGAGCCACATAAGAGCAAATAATCTCTAAAAATAATTTGTTGTCAAGTCTATTTGAATACTGAACTGTAAACCATAAAATCACTTATTACAATTTAAAAACACAGACGACATCTGATTCCTCTCAACATCTCTATTTATAAAGACCTTGAATAAATGTCCTCATTATCCCACTGAGCTGCAAAATATATTAATCATGACCATCATAACAGTATCAGCATGTGTAACACTGCAATCACCAGTGGTGGGAAGTAACGAAGTACAAGTACTTCGTTACTGTACTTAAGTACA